TAGCCTTGCTCTGAAGCCACAGGAGAAGAGAGTAGTTATTTCTCCAAAAGCATGTGAGCTATGGTAACAGATTTTGAAAAGCTATAAATAGGCATTTTTTCATTATCCTTTCAGCAGGATCCTTAGTCAGATGTATCTTATTAAGACTTACTCTTTTTCTGGAGCCTTCTGGTGGCCTTTGAGTTAACTCTCAGCGCCTTTACCACCAAGACTGGAGTTGGATCCCCAGCCAGCAGGGATCAACTAGAGTAATTATGTCAGTAGATCCATCTGTTCTGCTCCCCACTCCATCTCTGGTTAATCCCCCCATATCTTTGGCCTACACCCCAGTTTTTCTATGCAAAAATAAATTTTAAAATAGTAAGTCTTATTCTTTCTCCTATTATTCTTCCTGGAGTCAGACAAATAGGAACAGAACTGGAAGGAGCTGGTAGCATCCTCCCTGATGGGAAGTTGGACAGAACTATGAGGTCATCTATCCTAGGAAAGGGGGAGAGGGAGGATTCTGGACATGATTTCTTTTGCTTTTAGTTTTAGTTTTTTGGTTTTTTTTCTTGTTTGTTTTTAGTGCTCAAGAAAAGGCAGTGATTAATTCTATTTTGCTCTGACAAAACAGACAAGGAGAAACTGGAATGATTAGTATCAGACAAAAGAAGGTATAGTCCTATAAAATACCCTCCTGAAGAAAATGATTACTGGGACAGACTCATTCTCAGCATTTCCTGGTCAGCCCTGGCATCGAGGCTGTGTTGCCCTGACAGAGTGTGCATTTGTCCTGCAGAGCTGTGATTTCCTGCCTACATGCCACAAGTTCCACTCCATGAGTCAGGGAATCATTAGGCCAGCTAGAAAGGAAGTTATAACTATTCTCTTGAGCTTGCACACATGTTGCCCATCTGTTTTGCCAACTGTAGAAATAATATGTCCCTAGCAAGTCACAGGCACTCCAGGAGTAACTTAACCAGCCAGCTTCTCTATGCCTGACATCACACTAAAGATGAAAAAGATACAGCCCCTGTTCTCAAGTATTTCAGAATATGAAGGAGATGAAAACTGAAGCAAATGCTGATGAGAAAAAGTGGAAATCTTGTCAAATAAGGGCATAAACAAAAGTCATAGCATTCAGAAAGGTATAACTAACTCTGCCTGAGGGCATCAAGCGGGGTTCCATGGAAGCATCAACAGTTGTACAGGCGATCAGGAGGTAAAGGAAGGGAGATCAGGAGGTAGAGAAGGAAGACGGGAATACTCCAGACCAACAGAAGAAAACTTCATGAGGATGAGTAGATATAGACTATTCAAGAAAGAGCACAGTAGTTGAAACATGATGTGAAGGTCAGGCTTGTGCATCAATGAGGCTAGGCCACCACACCAACACTAAGTGTGGTGAAGCTACCTTGCAGATTTAACTAACATCTTCAGTCTGCTTGCTTTAAGTAACAGCTGCTATCTTCGATTACTGGGGTGTCCTGAGCTAATCACTTGAAAAACTTTAGGAAAAACTCAGGTTTGTTTTTAAAGAAGAATTATGCCACCTCATCTATATATAAAATACCACATTTTCTTTGTGGTCACTTTTTTTTAAAAGATGAAATCCTACAATTTGTGAAAACATTCATTAAGCTGTTAAGACACCAGTTAAGAAGAGACTTCCTCTGTTAAAACAAACCACAAAACAGGTCTCAAAATTACTCCTGTGAAGAGTCAAAATATAGTTGGGTTAGACTGTAGAGTAATTTATGTCCTACGGAGCTGTCAAAAATAACAGGGGCGTTCAGCTAATATTAATTAATTAGTGTTATACCAAAGAGGCAGAAAACTTCACACCTCAGAGAAAGACAGTAAAAGAGCTGCGGTCCCAGCTAAAGAGTGCATTCTGTGCCTCTGAGAAATAACATCAGAAATTCCCCACAATGTGGGAAAAATTGACTTCACTTACATATTATTGGTTAGAATGCAAATTAGTACAGTTGTTATGGCCATTTTTTAATGATGAAATCCTACAATTTGTGAAAACATGAGCTGGAAGCCGTTATGCTAAGTGGAATAATGAAGTGAAATATGTCAAAGAGTACTGCATGATCTCACATATATGTGAAATCTCAAAAAGTCTAACTCAGATGCAAGGGTAAAGCCACGGGGTTGGGGACTGGGGAAATCAAAAGATTTCCAAAGCTGGGAGGAAATAGCATTTCTTTAAAAGTATGAAATATTCAGGAATCAATTTAACAAAAAATGGTGGACTGAAAATAAATTAATGAACATTGAAATAAACTAAATCATTTGTCATGTTCCTGGTTAAGAAGACTTAGTATTTTTAAGACTAATATTCCCCAAATTAATCACTTCAACATGATCCTTACCAAAATCCCAGTTTGCTCTGATTTGCAGAAATTGACAAGTTGATATTATAATTTACATAAAATTGCAAAGGAAAGAAAATAGTCAAAGCATTGTTGAAAATAAACAAGGGAAGGCTCACATTTTCCAATTTCAAAATGGACTAAAATTGACTATCTAAAAATAAACCCTTACATTTACTGTGAACTAATTTTTTACTAAGGTGCTAAAACAATTCAAGGAACAACAGTTTTTTCAATAAATGAAGCCAAGGACAGTTGGACAGTCACATGCAAAGGAATGAATTTGAATCCCTATATCACACCATACATAAAATTAGAAGATGGATCATAGACCTTAATGAGGAGTCAAAACTATCATATTCCTAGAAGAAATCATAGGAGTAAATTTTTTGTGATCTTAGCATTGGTAACAGTCTTAGGTTTGGTACTAAAAATCACAAGCCACAAAAGAAAAAAAAATCTACAATTAGGCTTTTTTTTAATTAAAAGCCTTTGTACTTCAAACATTTAAAAGTAAAAAGATAACACCCTGAAGCAACAAAACATTTGTACATAATGTGGCTAAAGGATTTCTAATCAGGAGGCATAAACAGCTACAATTCAATAACAAAATAACTAGCTATTTTTTTTTAATAGGTAAGAGACCTGAATATACATTTCTCCTAAGAAGATATGCAATAACCAATGGTATGTGAAAAGAACCATCATTAGCCATTAGGGAAATGCAAAGCAAAATCATGCAAACCAAACTATAGTGTACCGCTTCACAGCTAGTATAATGTTTTTGCAAAGATGTGCAAAACATGGAATCTCAGATCAATTTAAAATGGTGCAACCACTTTGGAAAACAATCTGGAATTTCTTCAGAATACTAAGCATAGATTTACCCAATGATCCAGCAATTCCACTCCTAGTTATCTCACCAAGAGAAATTTAAATTTATACATGAACAAAAATTAATACATAAAGGCTTATATCATCATTTTCCTAACAGTCCAAAAGTGAAAACAACTCAGATTTAGGTCATGTGACAAAAAGTTCAACACAATCTGGTACATCCATAAAATGGAGTATTACTCAGCAACAGAAAAGTACAGATACAAGGTTGCAATGTGGGATAAATCTTGAAAAAATTATGCTAAATGACCAGTCACATAAACTCATAAATATTATTTCATTCATATGAAATTCCCCGAATAAGCAAATCTATAAAGATAGAAAGTATATCAGAGTCAACCCTATGGTTGGAGAAACAAAGTGGAAATGGGAAGGACTGCTAAAGGGATAGGAGAATGTCCTAAAGTTGACTGTGGAAATGTCTTCACAACTCTGAATATTAGTAAACACCTTTGAATTATGTGCTTTAAATGAACTAATTGTATGGTATACTAATTGTATCACAACAAAGTTGTTTAAAAGGAAGGGAAGGAGGAGGGTGGAAGGACAAATGAATGGAAAAAGAAAACCACAACAAAACATGTTTTAGAAAGAAAAAGAGAGCAAGTGATGATGAACTAAACATCAGTAAAATAACCCCATCTGTGTTGCAGAGTTATTACTCTGGCTAGAAATTTGGGTTGGAGGAGCAGCAAGACTAAAAGTAGAAGCACCAGATAGTGAAGGTACTAGGTGGGACCATAACAGTGTTATGATCCATACAGGAGACTCTGAACGTCAGAAGCAGGACAGAGAGTAAACACAAGCTATAGAGATAGTCTAGAAAATATTGCATGATGACAGTTTTGTGAAACAAGCATCCCAGATGTTCTACTTAAGAAATGGCATGAGTATGAATAACTACAGTCCTGTTCCCCAGCTACTGGCTCTAACTCCTGGAACATTCTAGTTATGGATTCCATGTCTTCTTCTCTAAGACGTCCCACCATTGGGCCTTTCCCATGTGCCACCTCCTGTTAGGATAACTCCTTTCCCAGCTTCTCAGTTTGAGTTTATCCATCCCCTTACCATCCCCCGAGAACACAGAACTCCAGACCCCCAAGAGTCCAGAGGTAGCTTCCCTCTTTCTGGTGTTCTGCTCCCACTCCGGCTTATGGATTTGAACACGGCTGGCATCTGACTCACCTGGGCACCTACCTATATCTCACCCAGAGTGACATTCGGCCAGGCCCGTGGGAGAAGCTAATACTGACCTAAGTCTCTGTGTTCCAGATTCTGCCCTCAGTGTTAGTGCAGGCTTGGCCTTATCCACAAAATGCTCCTGATTCCCCTCTCTGGATGGGGGTGTCTTTTTGCTCCTTTGATTTGCCCCATTCACTCTGGGAACTTGGTTAGAGCAGAGACTATGTCTCATTTTCTGGGGGTCTCCAAGGTCCAGGCCCAGTGCCTTGCAGGGCCTATCTTTGAGGAGAGCTGAGGCAAGAAAGAAGGATGAAGAACGGTAACAATAAATGAAGCACGGAGTGGGAGGATGGACGGATGGCAGCTGAGGTTGCCTCACACCCCAATGGCTAACACAGACTCCAAGCTGAGGAGGTGAGAGGAGGGAATAGGGGATCATGGTTTCAGCAGCAGTCTGCACAGGGGAACCTGCAGGAGGGCGGGACAGGAAGGGGAGGGGTGGGGCCTGGAGCACAGCCTGCCCTGCACAGCTGGGAGGAAGCAGCTGCATCGGGCTGCCAAGTGCAAGTGTCGCCCTTACTGGACCAGCTTGCTGAGATCTCCCTGCAGGGGCTCTCTTCAACCGCCATGCCCTCCTATACTGTCACAGTGGCCACCGGCAGCCAGTGGTTCGCTGGCACCGACGACTACATCTACCTGAGCCTCGTGGGCTCCACTGGCTGCAGTGAGAAGCACCTGCTGGACAAGCCCTTCTACAATGACTTCGAGCGTGGTGCGGTGAGGGCGTGCGGCGGTCCCCGCTGGGGCACAGAGCTCCCTGGGGCGGCAGGGGCCGGCTGGGGAGCATCCAGCACCTTCTCCTTCTCTCCTCCATGCCTGAACTGGGTGGGGGCATGTCTAGGACTTTGCTGGGGAGGCCCGGACCGAAGGTGTGGGTAGGGGGCTTCCGTGATAAGGTCTGCATGGTACCACTCATTTCTGCTGGAAAGTAAAAGGTGAACAGTTTGCGCTGCATTTCTTAGATGGGGACCCTGAGGCTGTAAGAAGCCCTTAACTAGACAAAGAATGTGGCAGAATTACTTGTGTCCCACTTCCTGGAGCTCCTTCCACAGGATCTTGGGGCTAAGGGTGGCACTGGACCTGACAGTCCTGCCATGCTGGACTGGACCAGCCAGTACCTCGGGCAACTGCATACTTTGAAGAGAAAGTGCAGATCTGGGATCCAGAGAAGTGATTATGAGGGAGCCTGACCATGAGCTGACTCTGTCCTTTCTCTGGGCCTCAGCTTCCCCAGGTGTCATGTGGAAGGGGTTTTGGCTTCAGGCTAGTCAGGCTTGAGTGAGCCCAAACAGGATCTGTAGCTGGAGTGGCACCAGCAAAGGTCTCCTCACTGGGCAGCTCAAGTCTCAGGACAGGTTATGGGAGGAATTTAGAGGGAAGGAGCAAGAGAACCTGAGCAAAGAGAAGCCTTTTGCCAAAGTGGATGCTGTCTTGGTTCCCCAGAGTGTATACCAGGGAAGAGTTCCATCCCAGGCATGAGGGCTCAACGAAAGAAGAGGGAGAGGAGCTCTCCCTTCCCCTCCTTACTCAAGACCCAGGAGCTGTGGGAGTTCAGGGAACGGAGCCCATGTTCATTGGGCACACAGAAGCAGGCTCCCAATGCTGACCTGGGCAGGAGTCCCAGCCCAGGCTCTGTCTGCCAGCAAAGCAGGGCACAGCTCATGTGTTCAGTGTCAAGCCAGCCAGTGGCAGTGTATGGAATGCTCAGTAAGTGACCTTTGTGATGGTCCATACACCTCCAGGTACTCAGGGAATATCTGTTCCCAGCTCCTGGACTGACCAAAAAAAGACTTAGTTGTCTCTTCACACTTCATTGACTACTAGGTCAGGCCATAGGCAGTTGCTTATAGCTGACTATGCTTGACAAGCTAGTAAGTTCATATGGTTCAATCAAATACCTCTTAGATAAAACTTAGGCAGTAGGTTTCAGGACTCAGAGCCTAAAATGAGTATTAGATTAACTCCTTTCCAGATTTCCATCTTGGTTCCTACCCAGGAGCCTCGGGCTCTCACTGTAAGCTGACTGGGCATCCAGGCAGTGCAATATAATATCCTGACTTGATTTCCCTTTAAGAAGAGTTAGGTGTTGAGTAGAGCAACCTCCACTTGTGTGGTTTCACCAATCAGGAAACTGGCCCTGAAGCAGCGGGCTACTAAGTCATCCATTTGGGATGGCAACACCCTTTGCCACTCTGAAGCAACTTATTTATTTCCATTATTTCTTGGGTCCCAACATCTTGGGGAGGCGGCCAGGTACAGAACATGTCTGCTATATAAGTAGGGCTCCTTCTCCACACACTTATCAGTGACCTCAGGCAGAGGGTACCACAGGTGTGATACCTCCCAGGTGGAGAGCGACTGTGCTAGTCAACATCCCCCCTTCCTGTCTTCCCTACCTGAGAGCTCATTCAAATAACAGTGTGATCAAACACCCCAGTGAGAGTCCTAGAGGCAAATTTCAGGCGAGGTTTGCACGTCATGTTTC